ATACATTTAACAAATGCTTTTTGAATACCTACTATCGAGACAGATGTCACATCAGAAGTGAGTTGATGATAAGACAACATGTGAAGATTTAGACGTAATAATAAAGTGCTATGGGACCTCAGAGGACTTTCCCTTGAGGTCGTGGAAAGTTTCACAAGAGTAGCAATTAGGGGCAGAGCCAGCCTTAGAGAGGTCTGAAGGTTATATAATTTGGGTTTCCATTTAACAAAAAATATCTTAAGGCTGTCATTTTACAAAAACAACAAATGTCCATGTGAACAGTTTGCTAGAACCCCTCCCTTGCAAGGCCTAATGTTTACATTTCATTGGCATCACAATGAAGTTTCATTAGATGAATTAGATCTCTATGTTTCCACATGAGTAGATTTTTTTTAAAGATACAATTAAGTAGATAAAGTAAGTTGAAGAACATGGAATAGTATAATAAAACATATGCAAAAAATGTATCATCCCTACAGATCCATACCACATCCAGTTTATGGATACACACACCAGAGGCTCCTGGGAGCCTGATCATAATTCTCCTTGGAGCAATGATTCAGTATTTGCTAATTAAGGGTTCAGGGCAACTTTGTAGAACATTACTACTGAGAATAATAAGGGTCAACTGTAATTTGCATAATATATAAATGTTAACTATCCATTTTAAATATTGGATACATGAATACTGTTGTATTATGCTTTATCATGTACCTATATTTTGTTGTTCAAAAAGAAAAGATACAGTTTGCTTTGAAGTGTAAGCACAGGATAATTTAAGAAGTTTTTTTTTTTCCTGTTACTGATATTAGCTTTGTATATACACTTGCAATTCTCACATTAAAAAAAAGAAGGGAGCAGAGGTTTTCTGATCAAGGATTTCAAAGGAGAAGATTGTTAAGGGAATCTTCAGCACCACATAAACATTGAAAGGCTCTTTTTTTTTTCCTTTTAATTAATAACATTTTCAATTATACTTGATACTCAATATTATATTAGTTTCAGGTGTTCAACAGAATGGTTAGACATTTATATAACTTACAAAGTGATCGCTCCCGATATGTCTTGCACCAACCTGACATCATACATACTTATTACATTATTATTGACTATATTCCCTATGCTGTACTTTATATCCTCATGACTATCCTGTAACCACCAATTTGTACTTCTTAATCCCTTCACCTTTTATCACCCAGCCCCCAAAACCCTCCCATCTGACAACCATCAGTTTGTTCTTTGTATAGATGAGTTGTTCTATTTCATTTGTTCATTTATTTTGTTTTTTAGATTTCAAATATAAGTAAAATCATATGGTATTTGTCTTTCTCTGTCCGACTTGTTTCACTTAACATAATACCCTCTAGGTCTGCCCATTTGCAAATGATAAGATTTCATTCTCTTTTTGACTGGGTGATATTCCATTGTATATTGCGGTATTATAATACTCTACATCTCCTTCATCCACTCTTCTTTTGATTAGAGCATTTAATTCATTTACACCTAAAGTAATTATTGATATGTATGTAGTTATTGCCATTTTAGTCATTGTTTTCTGATTGTTTTTGTAGTTCTCTGTTCTTTTCTTATTCTCTTACGCTCTTCTTTTCTATGTTGATAATTTCCTGTGGTGTTGTGTTTGGATTTCTTTCTCTTTATTTCTTGTATATCTTTTGTAGATTTTTGGTGTGTGGCCCATGTATACTAAGCTACAGCAGTCTATTTTAAGTTGATAGTCACTTAAGTTTGAACACATTCAAAAATAACTAGCATTTTTACTCAAGCCCTCCATATTTATCTTTGTCAGTATTTTTTTACTTCGTGTGTGTATGTGTGTGTGTCCCTTAATTTACTGTTGTAATTATAGATGAGCCTCCTATTTTTGCCTTTGAACCTTGATACTGCAACCCAGGCATATGCCCTGACCAGAATCGAACCATGACCTCCTGGTTCATAGCTTTACTGTTGGTTGATCCACTGCTTTTATTGTTTGCCTGTGTCAGTGAGAATTTTTTTCCTTTGCGATATTTTCTTGTTCATATTGTAAAACAAATTTTTTTCTTCATCTTCTTAAAGAAGACGCTTTAACATTTCTTGTAATACTGGTTTGGCGATGATAAATTTCAGCTTTTTCTCATCTGGAATGAAAGACTCCTTTTCAATTGCTGTATCAGTGTCAAATTAGATCTGGACCTCACTCACTTTAGAATCTGTGTTTAGATTTGCATGAGAACATTTCATGCAAATGTTCTCATGCAAACCTCACCTGCTTATCTTCCTAACACCGAGCAGATGAAAGCTGTTTGGCCACAGGGGCAATGGGATCCAGCTGCAGAAGGAGAGAAGCCAGTTAGAATGAGGTCCCTGCCAGAGGCACCATCCCAGATGCAGCCTGTGGAGCCAGGTGGACAGCCGGACACGGAACCTAGTCCCTCAAAGGCTCTGCTTAGATGGTTGCCCTTTAAGTCAAGGGTTTATAGGGAAGCCAGAGGTTTGCTTTTCATCTTCATAGTAAGGACAACGTTGATCCCTTCTTCTCTTTCCAAGTTAACAATTCTTTCCATTATTTTGTAAAGAATATAGGAAGTGAATCCCCTTCTATTTGGCTATTTTAGCAACAGGTGCTGCACTGTGACTCTTGGGCCTATTCTAGTTGATTACAGCAACACAACACATAAAATTTTCTTTTTAAAAAACCTCGTCATATGTATTTCCTAGACTATTTTCAATCTTTAAAGAACAAATGGGTCACCTATTAAGCCGGGCAGTTTACCAAAACGCTGCACCAAATCTTTAGAAAGAATGTTGTTTTTCGAGTGCTGAGTTGAAGGCTTTGTGGGGAAGAGGCCAGTGTTGGCTATCTTCTGAGACCCAGAGAGTGTCTGGGATTTGTTCGCTCATCTTCTGTTTCACATTCAACTGTAAACCTACTTTTGCCCCCACCTGTATTAGGATTGAGAATGCCCCACCTGGAGCAGAGCTATGACTTCCTGAGAGATGGGCTGGCCCACTCAGGAGGGAAGTGTGGCTTTGGGGTGACATGATCTCTGGATGGCATCGTAGGTGAGGGATGACGGCTAATGTCCAGGTGGAGGTTACCAAGTGCCTCTTCATTTGTGGGAGCCATGGATCTACTGTAGATACGGCTTTTCAGAAAGCATCTTCTCACAGTCATACCAATGTTCCTTGATTGCTCACACAAGCTTTCCCACTGTAATTCTTTCTTTTCCGGCAAAACCATCTCATATTTGGAGCTGGGAGAAGATGCAGGGGGATCTCTTTGTAATCAGTGCCTCGGCATGACCAAGAGTGTGAAATGAATGGAGGATGGACAGATAGATGGATGAATGGGTGGACAGAGAGATGATTATGCAAACAGGAAAAATGAATAATAATAATAGCAACTATTTCTATTAATAATGTTAATTATTAATATTTTGGTTAATATTAGATATTAATAATAATATTTTAAAAATTAAAACCAAGAATTGAGGCAGAGACATTGGACATCTCTTTATCATCTGTCTTGGCTGGCAAGATAGGCACCTAGAGTTATCAAAATCCAACAGGAACTTAAAACACACTCTAGGCCAAGCCCTGCTTATTTGTTATCCAGTAATTATAAATTTCATGGTGGCTTAACCTGCACAATTAATAAAAAAATACATGTTGGAGGGTAGTGTATCTTTTCCGGGAGATTTTCAGACATTGCTTATTCACGTGAATCACCTATTTTTGGTAAAATGTCACCTGACAGCAGCACAGTATTTGACACATGTCAGCACATTAATGCTCTTGGCCCCAGGCTACCGCAGACACTGGCACGTCTCTCTTCTTAGTCAGCCTCAGCTCTGGTGCAATGGCTCCGATTTAACCTGCTTTGTTTGCAACCGCGTGCATGTGCCAGCATTTCCAGGTTGCACCACAATAAATTTCAGTGTGTTGATACTTTAGCGAATGCCTGGCTGGGCAGTTTTTCGATGTGATGGGTCTGATAACAAAGCTGTAAGTTCTATGGGGGAAGGGACCGGGCCTGTTCTGGCTCCTGCCATTTGTGCAGCCCATAGCAGAGAGCAAGTACATGGCAGAGGTCAAATATTCTGCTGAATGGCTGATTGAAAGTGACCCCTGTGGGGAGACTGGAATGGGACTTGTCTCTTTGGTACTCAGGGAGCTAGGTGTCTGTTTAAAAGTCTTTGGGTATGAACCTCCTGTATACCATCTCAGCTTATGCAGTCTTATTTGAAGATGACCACAGAGGGTTGAACTTCTCATCTTCTCTGTGACATCAGTGCTGAGTAACCAGCAGAGCAGCCATGCCTTCCCCTGTACCCCATGGCATTCAGGCCTGTTCTAGAATGCTATTCTAAACATATTTGTGTGTATGTATCTCCTTCTCTTGAAGGCAGGAACCAGGTTTTATTCGACTCTTGTCCAGAGTCTAGCAGAGTGGTCCATAGGGATGGGCACTCACTATGTGTTTGCTGAGTGAATGGACAAATAGACATAAAACCTAGTTTCATAGATGGCCCCCAAATAGTGCACAGGTAGGGAACAGATTACCAAAGGTATGTTTCTGGAGCTACTCAGAATTGCTTTCAGGAGATCTCTTCACTGAGCCAGGGCCAGAGGATAAATGGTGCAGAAGGGACAAGTACTGGCTGTTGGCTGTGAATGTGGGCTTTGGGCCCGATAGCCCAGGATCTGAACTCTTACTGCCTATTAATGACCTCACCTCTCTGAGCCTTGTTCCTCATCTATAAGGAGCCTAGAATTATTGTATTAAATGAGGCAATACCTAGTATATGGTCAAGTGTTTAATAAATTATTACTGTCGTGTAGATTATTAATTACAATTCTTGGATATATTAGGCTCAGTCAACAATCATGGGGCCTAATTGGAGGGAAGAATACAGATTGGAGGCAGAGGGGAGAGGTGAGGTTTCTGACACCGCCCTCTCCCTGTCAGCCCCTCCCTTCTTCCTCTGCAAGAGCTCAGGGTCTGCTTCAGTGTCTCCTGGAGGCCACTCCAGGGGAATCTGAGGGTGGGCAGGGGCCTCCGAGAGGCTCCGGGAAGAGCAGTTTATGGCTGGGGGAGCAGCCAAGTGACCAGAAGACCTCAGCAAGGGAGAAGTGTGGAAAGGATTGAGAAGGCGTGATTAATGGAAAACAGGCATTCTACTCAGGCCCCCAAATCCTCCATGTATTAAAGGAACGCTGTGTGTGAAAGTATTCTGTGAAGCCATGAATACAAATGCAAACCGTAGGTATTGGCATTTCAGTGCTTTTATTATTGTGTGTGTTTATGCTACACAATGTGTCCTTCAGGCTCCGTGGTTAGTCTATTCCTTAAATTGTAATGCACTGCACACACACACACACACACACACACACACACACACACACTGGAAATGAGAGTACTAGATCCAACAAACATTGCTGGAGGACCTACTAATTTATGCCCGGCACTGTGAGGTTATACGGAAGAGACCCCCCTGCCTTCATGGCTCACTACCGCCGATGTCTGTAAAGCCATAATGCATTAACTCATGGTTCCACCGAGGCCAGGGAGAAGTCTCCTTAGCTGTTGTCTCAACTGCAAGTGGCAGAGCAGAACGAGGCTGAGAAAGCTTTAATATAAACCGGGCCTCCTTGGCGGGTGCACAGCAGCCTGCTGGGCGGGCCACCTGCTCCTGCCCCGTGGGAAAGATCTGGTGATTTCAGATACAGAGCAAGAGGCAGTGTTCAGCTGAAACCGGTTTGGGTCAGTGGATAGAGCGTCGACCAGCGGACTGAAAGGTCCCAGGTTCGATTCCGGTCAAGGGCATGTACCTGGGTTGCGGGCACATCCCCAGTGGGAGATGTGCAGGAGGCAGCTGATCGATGTTTCTCTCTCGTCGATGTTTCTGGCTCTCTATCTCTCTCCCTTCCACTCTGTAAAAAATCAATAAAATACATTTAAAAAAAAAAAGAGGCAGTGTTCGGACTCCGGGACAGGCCTCATTCGCTGCACGGCCCACCTGCAGCAGTGAACTAAAACCCATATTACGGTTTTTAAAAAATGCTAGAGTAATGTGCTCGCCAGATGCCACTGCTTAGGCTCCCAAGAGCTAGGGCTTTGATGTTGCCAGGCAACGAGGCCCTGCCCTGCGCATCCGCAGAGCGAGCCCCTGGCTCACATCACCGCCCACCCCAGCCCTTGCCTTGACCAGCAGTTTGCTGCTCATTTGGTCTCCCAGGCGGTGAGTTAATACTGGATCGAATCCCTTTACCGGTCCCGGGCTGCTTTATGGGGCATCTGTGCCTGAGAACAGCGTTCCAAATTTCGGGTTCCTCCTGGAAGTGGGTCAGGTAAATTGAGACAAGATCTTCAGTGCCTCTGAGAATTCAGTGCAATTTGGGCTTGGGTTTTGAGGACACTGTTCCCAGGGGGAAGATGTTCCTGCCTTGTTACTTCAGGATTTTTGCCTTAATCAGCATGGTCTGGGGTTGATCTCAGGATGGAGGTGGAGCCAACAAGGCAAGAAGTGACTGGAAAGGTCACCTCTGAGGAAATGGTGGCTCTTCACACCAAAAACTCCCTCTGCTTTCTTGGGGTGGCAAAATCGTCAGCACTGGTGGCCCTGCAGCCCTGCAGCCCTGAAGCGCATAGCCGTGGGTAAACTCTGCCTTAGGGAAGCTGCTCTAGGGTTCCTTTATGGGAGAGACCAGGGGCTTCCTCTAGTTGAATGGGGACTAGGAAAGTTTTTGGTTTTTGTTGGGAGGAGTGGACTTGCTGTTATTGGGGCGGGCACCACAGGCCCGCCCATGGTCGGGTTAGTGTTGTGCCCTGAGGCAGCTGGAAGCCTGGCACCTCCACCCGCTGCCTGTCTGGGTTAGTGGAACATGCACGCTCAGTCCGAGGGTGGAGGCAGGGGTGAGAGCCACCAAGGCCAGGGTGGAGCAGGGGGGTGGCGCCGGGCTGGGGTGCCGGAGTCAGCATGGAGGTCAGCCAGCCTCCCTGGGCCCAACGAAGGGTGGGAGCTGGGGACTAGGAAAGTTTTTTAAACTGTTTGCATGTCGCCTTACAGAGCGGTGGCAAGTCAATTGTCCATCCCTAAAAAAGGGGTGAGGGCAAATGCCCTGTCTCGCCCTGCTTATCTCACCCAACTACAGGGTTGAGGGGAGAGGGGAGACCTAGGACAGTGCACAGACAACCCCTCCTTTGTGTGGACACACATTTTAAGTAAACAAAGTACACCTGTGGTCATATCTGAGGGTGCTGGGTGCCCCATCTAGTCCTATGGTTCTATACTTTTGTTCACATGTTGGGTCAAAATATTACATTATCAGTTGTGGTAATGCCCTGTTTTCTCCATAAGTCCCCAGTGTCTGAATTCACCCTTTTGTGTCAGGAGTTATGTGAGGATTTAACAGGCCACGATCCCTTTAGAAAGGATTCCGTACTGTATTAATAAAAGAAACGGTGGGAGGGAAACATTGCCTTTCTAGAACACATTGAAAAAAGGACTCCAGTCAAATAGGTCAGTTGAGGCTATTTTACAACCTTGAAAAAAAATGAAGTCAATGAAATTCAAGACATGAGTTAGTCTATTAAGCTCCAGGACAGAAACAGATGCGCTAAGATGAGCCCAGATCCACCTGACAGCCTAAATGTGTCCCCTAAGGGGGCCAATTCAACAACACAGGCTGGCCCTGTCTGCCAGGGCAGGGTGGCTAATGGAGTGGGCATGGGCAGCTGCAATGTCTTCTCAGTCAAGCCTCAATAATGCCAATGATTACCATGTAATCTTGAGTAATCTGATCCTCAGTTCCTTTGGCTGTCATCTTAGAACAGTAACCTCGATTCATAGGATTATTGAGAAATAATAATTAAATGAGATGATATGAACTTGATTCTTGAGCAAGTATTATATGACAGGCTCTTTGCTAACTTACTATCTCACTTAGTCCTCACAGCCACCTTGTTATTCCCATTATACAGAATGAGAAGACACAGTGCCACAGAGGGTAGAGCCTGGATCTGTTTTCATGTCTGACTGGACCTCACGTTTTTAAATCTGGCTAAGACTATGGCTCCCAAACAGCGCTGCAAAATTCTGACTTTGCCCAGGTCTCACCCCAGACCAAGTACATCAGAAGGGCTGGAGTGGCAAGCAGGCATTGGGTTTTTTAAGTCCTCATCCTCCAGGTGATTACTGTTTTGCGAACCACTAGGTTAAGAAATTCGGCTCTAAGTAGTTCTCAATTGTGACTACACAGTAGAACCACCAGGGAAACATCTAAAATATACTGAGAGCCACACCCAAGGAAATCTGATTTATTTGGTCTTGGTCAGGCCTTAAATTACTTTCTCTGAGTGATTCTAAAATGCAGTCAGCTAGAGACCATTGTGCTAAGTCACAGGGAAAGCAAGCACGGTGAGAAAATGGTTGCATTATTAAAATTGCATATCAAGTGAAGCTTTGGTAAACATGCTTTTAAGATCTTTTCCAACTTGTCCTTGTAATTCCCTAGGAAAATCCATTACTTTTGTCTCAGTTTGCTGGCTCAAGAGAGGAACTCAATCTGTACGTTTCCAACAAGTGTAGCTGGAAAAAGGGGGTGGGGTAGGAGGCAGTATCGTTGGAATATTTAGTTCAGTTGTTTCTGCTTCATACATGTAATCAATTAGTTCAACAATAAGCTCAGTTTTACCTTCATCTACTGTCTTAGCTAAAGGAACTAGATTTGTTTTGTGTTTTTAAAATTTTTTATTGATTTTTTTTTTTATAGAGAGAGAGAGAAAGGGAAAGGGAGAGAGAAACATCTATGTGAGAGCAAAACATCAATCAGCTGCCTCCTGCACACCCCCTACCAGGGTAGAGCCTGAAACCTGGGCATGTGCCCTGACCGGGAATAAATCAGCAACCTTTCAGTGCATGGGATGATGCCCAACCAACTGAACCACACTGTCCAGGGCTAGAAGTTTTTTTTTTTAATGAATTCAAAGAATTCAATATGGATAATTAACTTTGCATAGATCTCACCTCTTTATTAACATGAATTAATATTTTATTTATTTATTTTTTATATATTTTTATTGATTTCAGAGAGGAAGGGAGAGGGAGAGAGAGAGAAACATCAATGATGATAGAGAATCATTGATTGGCTGCCTCCTGCATGCCCCTTGCTGGAGATTGAGCACGCAACCTAGGCATGTGCCCTTGACTGGAATTGAACCCGGGACCCTTCAGTCCTCAGGCTGACGCTCTATCCACTGAGCCAAACCAGCTAGGGCTGAATTAACATTTTATATGCTGTGAAAATTTGATCTTCTGCTTTGATTTCTTCATATTATTTATACATGCACTTCCATTTTTTTGGACAGTGACTCCAGTCAGGAGGGACTAAGAGATGCTGCCCTAATAAATAATTCCCAAACCTCAGTGGCTTAACTTGCTAGGACTTATTTGTCCCTCATGTTATATATTTGAAGTGGGTCTGTGTATGACTGTCACTTAGGGGCCCAGATGGGTGGACACATGCTTCCACCACTGCCAAGGCAGAAAAAGAACAGAGGAAGTGGAATATCAGCTCTTAAAACTTCAAGCAGGCAGTGACGTGACCTTATGAAATAATATTGACCTTACACGGGTGTCCTGTGGTGCAGTCTCTATGGTCACCTGAGACTGTTGCTCCAGGTGGGTCACCTCTGTAGATTGTGTGCCCTCCTATTATAGCTGAGCCTTGATTGCTATTTGGAGGGATGTATTCTCAGGCTGATTGGTTTTAAGGACTGGCCATGACTACAGTGGAGGAGCTGTTGTGCGGGGGCTGACCCTATGGTACAGGATTTGCTTTAGTGGGGCTCTGGTGCCTGCTGAGTCTGCCCATTGAGCACATCACTGTGGAAGTGACTGAGTAGTGCTCTGGTGTGGTCTTTAGCTGGCTACAAGGTGTGTTGGTTCTGGAGCCTCTTGGGAGGTTCAGACCAAGGTCAGCTGCCACCTGTGCCCTGCTGAGGGCCACCTGGCATGAGCTACAAAGTGATCTGCAGACAGTTGCCTCTGGTCCTGGGCTTGGAGGTGCCTGTGGAAGGCTAAGCCGCCAGTGCTGGAGTTGGGGTTGCTTAGTGAGAAGTAGGGAACAAGAAGCCAGATGCTGCTTGTTTGGGGACTGTTTGGGGTTTTAAGAAGGTCTGAAGCATGAACCAAGACAGGCCATTTGTATGGAAAAGCCACTGGAAGCAGCCTGGGTGGGCCAGGAAGTTGGGGGCCAGGGTCTCAGGGAGTCACCAGTGTGGGGTGAAGAGTGTGAGCCAAATTGAAAGAAAATCAGATATGATGCCATCCTGCACTTACAGCAAAGGAACAGTGGCCTCTGCCAGCACTTCCGTCTGGGAGAAAGCTGCTCCTCCAGCTCTCACCTGAAGCCAGATGATTCTGTTCCTTCCTGTATGCCCAGATTGTGGGAGTCTGTCAACAAGTCCAAGTACGGGCCCTTTAAGAGGAACGCTTGGGACTCCAGCAGCCCTTGGCTCACTCAGCTGCAATCCCTGCTGGTTGTCACAGCCAGAATTTATGGGCACTTCTCTCCCTAGCATTTGGGCCCTGGGCTGGGAGCATGGTGTGGTGCTGGGACCCCTCACTCCTCAGTGGGGAACTTCAGAGCTGAGATATCCCTCCTGATTTCTATCCACCACACATGGGTATGGGACCAGCCTGTTCCTTATCTCTGCCCCTCCTACCAGTCTCAAAGTGGCATCTTCTTTATATCCTTATTTATAGACTTCCATTCAGCTAGATTTCAGGCAGTTCTCAATGATGGTTGTTCTGTAGTTTAATTTTGATGTGTTTGTGGGAGGATGTGAGTCCCACATTTACCTATGCTACCATCTTGACAAAAAGTCCTATCCATTCTTTTAGATTAGGTTGCACAGCACCTATTACCGTACCTTCCCAGCCCTCCCCCATCATTCCCAGGCCCAGAGCTTGTAGTTGTCCTCCTATAAAGTCAACTCTAAAGAGCAGGACCCCACTTTTACTAAATTACAAATGACTGTTAATAGCTTACAAGGGCTGATTCCTTTTGGAGAAGGACCAGATCTTAAAACAAATCAAAACAGGAGAACTTTGCTGTGTAATTTTGTGTCCTGAAGGGAAGGAGCTAAGAGGTGAGACCGGTTCTTCCTGGCCTGAGAGGCAGCAGAAGAATAAAGGCTTGGTTCAGCTTTTATCTGAACAACTGGGGTAGCTTTTGGAGTTCGGAAGTGGAGCCTGCCGAATCCTCAGCAGCAGATTCTAAAGCCCAGTTCTTAATGAGCAGCATGTGGCAAGCCTGCGATTGGTGACGCTAATAAACAGCACAAAAACTGCCCAAGCCATCATCAACGTTTCTCTGGGTCAACACAACAGCCTTTTATTGGGAAGCCTTCCAATCTTGCCCCTTCTTAACCTACACCATAGTAGTCTGCTGAAAAACGCCCCCCCCCTTGCTTAATATCTTTTAATGGATCCCCCACCCCCAGCATAAAATTCAAACTCTTTCCTGTGGACCATGAGACCTCTCCCAAAATCCCTTGCTCAGGAGAGAGTGGCCTTCTTTTGCTTCCTGGAACGCACTAGGTTCATGACCATCTTCTCATCTCAACGTTGTAAGCTGACATTCCCTTTCCCTGGCTGACAGCGACTTCTTGTCCAATCCTCAACTCCAATGGTATCCCTCAGGGAAGCCTTTCAGTTACTCTCCATTACACTTCACTTACTTATTTACTACGTGTTTCTCATCACTTGAGTTAAAAAGAAGCATCAGGCCCCAAATGGAGTCACTTGTGCTAAATCCATGTCAACAAACCAATACCTAATACCTAGCCTTATCGCAGCCTCAGCTTCTTCCACTGGGGATCGAGCCTGCCACCTGGGCATGTGCCCTGACTTGGAATTGAACCAGTGACCTCTTGGTTCTTGGGTCAACGTTCAACCACTGAGAAAGACCGGCTGGGTTCAGAAATGTAACCTTTAGCCAGTAAACCTGGAATTACCTGGTCAGCACTAGTGAGATAATCTGTGATAGGCTCCCTCCATTCCCCTTAGGAGGGGACATTGCCTGAAACAATGCATTTCATCCTCATAATGTCCTTTTTCTGACCCCTTTCTGTCTTTAAAAACCTTCCATTTTGTACAGCCCTTTGTCATTCCTTTCTATTTGCTCTATTCATGATTCCATAAAGCCAATTAAATCTTCAAGTTTACTCAGAAGAATTTTTATATTTTAACCCTAGAATATAAACTCTGGGAAAGCTGGGAGTTTGTCTTTTCTGTTCATCTCTAGTGTTCACAACTCCTAGCATAGCATCTTGCACACTTTAGGTACATAGTAAACCTTAATTTCTATAAGCCTGGGAAGTAGGTATTGTTACTATTTTCCAAATGAGTCTTAAAGAAATGGCTTAAAGTTGCATTACTTTAAGTGTTCCCACCAGGATTCATATTGATTTTCCCCTCTCTCAGTACCACCCTGATTTGAGTGACCCAGAGTGTATTTAAAGACCCAGAGTCATTAAATTCATTCAAACAGACACCTTGCTTATGACTCAACCTGACTTCTTGCTATACTGGTTCCAATGCACATTGCATTCAAAGAATAATGCTGAGAGGGCTAAATGCAAATTGAAGAAAAGCATGACAAGTAGCATATGTACTGGTGGCCACTTAAGCAACTATGTTTAAGAGTCAAAGCTGCCAGAGTGCCTTGATTATGTAAATTGACTGATGAATGTCCTGGTCATTCATTGTGAATTGCCTCCTTTTGGGGAATGCCCAAGGCTGTTTAAGGTAATCAATAAATACATTTCCATCAACTGGTGAATGAAAAAGATGAAGTATGTCCATAAAATGTAATATCATTCTATATAATAAAATCCTAATATGCAAATCGACTGAACAGTGGAACAACCAACGGAATGACCAGTTGCTATGACATGCACTGACCACCAGGGGGCAGACACTCAACACAGGAGAGGGAGATGACCAGCGGTGGCGATTGGAGGGTGGGGCTGGCCAGTAGGCGGCACCAGGCCACCAGCCAAGGTGGGTGCCAGTAGGGGTCCCTGGATCACCCTGCCTGCAGGTTGCCGCACAGATTGGCCCTGATCATCGGCCAGGCCTAGGGACCCTACCCTATATATTGGGAACAGTCTCTTAGATTTAAAAATTAAGACCTGGCAAGGCTACTCTAAAAATGGAAAAACAGGATGATGCAGCGATGACATGCATGGACTCTGGCTTGCACATTTTGTGGTCAGCCCTGATTCTGACACTTATAACGGTGACAAGCCCTATTACTTAATTTCTCTCTGCTTCAGTTTTTCCACCCATAAGATGGGGAAAATGGTACTACCTCAGAAGGATCATGTTATGTACTACTTTTTATACTCAGGGCAAAAAATTGTAGCTGCCCATACAACAGCAAGATACCTTTTACTTGTATGAACAGTATGGTCATTGGTGCATGCAGTGTCTCAGATTGCAAGAGGGATGTCCAATTGCCGGTTTAGGCCCTATTGGACATCCCCCAAGGATGCCACTGGGCTAAGGACCCCCTGCCCCCAGTGCACAGATTTTGTGCACCGGGGCTCTAGTTCAACTATAAAAGGAATAAGGTACTGATACATGCTACAATATGGATGAACCTTAAAAATATTATGCCCAGTGAAAGAAACCCTAAAGGCCACATATTGAGGGATTCTATTTATATGAAACATCCTGAAAAGGCAGATCCATAGAGACAGAAAACAGATTCGTGGATGCCAGGGGCTGGGTGAAGTGACTGCCAGGGAGTGGGGTGGATATTTCCTTTTAGGGTGATGAAAATGTCCTGGGACCAAATAGTGGTGATGATTGTACAACATTGTGAATGTACTAAAAGCCACTGGATTGTATGCTTTAAATGGTTAGAACGGTAAATTTTACGCTATGTATTTTACCACCATTTTAAAAAAACCCAATGAATTAGAAAATAGTAAATGATAGCTGTACTTCTCAGTTACTTTTTGAACAAAACATATACCCATAACTCTGACAAGCTTAATAAAAAAAGGGTGTAACACAAATGTACTGAATAAAAAGAATTATGATATGCATGTTTTTAAAAAGACACATAATATTGAAAACCTTTACCTTCTCATAAGAAGAAAAAAGGAAAAAAAAAAGAGTGGAATGTCTACTACAGCCCAGCCTGACCGCAGTTTGATGAGAAATGTCTGTGGGCCGCTGGTGCTGGCCATGCCCCAGGGGGCAGGGCGTGCCCCGCGTGCAAGAGCCATTAGCTGTGTCTGAGGAATCTGCTCCTGCCTCTTTCTTTAGGACATAAAAGCAAATGACACATTAACACTGGCTCCTGGAGACATACACAAACACTTCTTGCAGGCTGGCTCCTGCACAGCTGCTCTCCTTCCGCGCCCGCATCGCCCCCGTAGCTGCCTCAGCATTCATTTGGACAGGAGTGTAGAAAGTGTTTCATTCCACCATCTTGCCTATGCAAAAGTTGGGGTGGTTCCACAAGAAATGGACTCAAGAATACAAAGCCCAACTAGTAGAAAAGTGGGTGGTTGGAGAAGTTCCAGTCTTTTAAGGCACTGATGTCGCAAGATGTGGCTTTGCTCTGGACCTGCTTCCAGCCCAGGTACTGCCTTCCTGCCCTGGTCAGATGCTCTTTTTACCACCTCCTCACATAGCTGCTCCTACTCTTCTCCCACCGAACCACTTCTCCTGCCTTCATATTTAAATTCTACCCTAGCTGGTTTGGCTCAGTCGGCCTGCATACTGAGGGGTCCCAGGTTTGATCCTGTCAAGGGCATATACCTGGGCGTGCAGGAGGCAGCCGATCAGTGATTCTCTCATCATTGATGTTTCTCTCTCTCTCCCTCTACTAATAAATAACTATATATTTTTTAAAAAAATCCTGCTCTTCCTTTGAGGTCCGACTCAAGCCCTTTAACTTAGGATTTACATATCCCCTCCCCTCTTTTCCTCCCCATTTTGTTTTGTGCCTGGGAAGTCCATCTCCCCTACTTAGATAGCAAGATCTCTCTGATGACCAGAACCTCTCCTTGTAACTGAGAGTTCCCCACAGTTGTGAGCAGCTTTGCTGTCTTCCATGCACTTTCCCCCTCTATTCTCCCAGCTCCTTGGTTTTCCTTTGCTGGGCTAATCTGTCTGCAATAGGCTCAGGCAGCTGTGAATTAAAGCAGATCCAGGAGACTCATCCGTCTTGGGGCTTCCGCAGGAGCTACTGGTAAGAGACCCTCTTTCTCTAGGAGTTGCTAAACTGACAGGAGCCACTGGGGATGCTCACTGCCAACTCCTGGGATGCTTGTCTGAGAATAAAGCCACACAGGAGAGCAGAGCCTGATGGCTTTCTTCAAGGCTCTGGATTGTAACTGCCCTTGACCCCAAAGCCTTTTCAGTTATGAGTATTGACAACCCTCCTGGCTGCTAGCGGTTGCTTCCAGCTGAAAGGATGTTATTGTACCTCCCAGCATTTACCCTGGCACAAGGTAAGCACACAAAAAAAATTGTCAACATATTGATAGTTTGTTTGCAGTTCCATCTAGAGTGGTTAAGTGAAATATTTATTTTTTAGATTAAAACATTGTCATTGTGGTAAAATACATTTACCATTTAATCATATGGTTGTGCAACCATCACCACTATCCATTTCCAGAACTTTTCATCATCCTAAACAGAAATCTATACCCATTAAACACCAACTTCCATTCTTCCCTCTTCCCACATCATGGTCACCATAATTTTGCTTTTTTAAATCTATGAATTTGACTATTCTAGGTTCCACACCATGGGCCAAAAGTAGGCTTACAGTTGAGGAAGCATAACATTTATTGTATTATGAATTATTGTATTATTTTTCATATGACTAACTGTAAACCTATTTTTACCTCAACCTGTATAAGTGGAATCTTACAATATTTGTTATTTTTGTGAATGGCCTATTTTACATAGCATAATGTTCTCAAGGTTCACCCATGTTGTAGTATGAGTTAGACTCTCCTTCCTTTCTAAGGCTGAATAATATTCCACTGTATGTGTAGACCACATTTTATTTATCCATTCATCCATCAATGGACACGGGGGTTGATTTCACTCTGTTGTAAACAATGCTTCTATGAACATGGGTGTACAAATATGTGTTCAAGTCCTAGCTTTTAATTCCTCTGGGCCTATAGCCCAGAAGTGGAATTGCTGGATCATATGAAAATACTGTTTAACTTTTTAAGGAATCATCCCACTGTTTTCCAGAGCAGCTGCACCATTCTACATCCCCACCACCAGTGCACCAAGGTTCCACGGAGTCTACATCCGTATCAGTAGTTGTTGCTTTCCATTTTTTTGAAAATATTTAATGATGGAACTGTGCTAATGCTAAGAATAGAACTTATTCTAGGAGCCTGTGTGGATAAGAAGAGAATTGTTGCGTTCATGAAACATTAAAGCCAGAAGATCTAGCCTAAAATAGTCCTTCGTGTGTTCTGGGCAGCATGTCGGCTTTTATAGACTTCTACTCTCTCAGATCCATCTCAGCACCAGGTTGGAAACGTCTGTTCAGGAGTCACTGGCCACTCCTGCTTTCCCAATGAGGGGAGAGGGACAGAGGCTGGCCCATTCTGATTTGTGGGTAGCCAGTGTCCTCACCACCCCCCAACCCCACATCCACCCCTTTCGGCTTTTTCAACAAGAATGAAGTTGCCTTTTTATCTGCTTCAGGAGGCTCTTACAATCCGGTGAAACGACACCACCACGCACTCAGCGTATTCCAATAGACGCCTCGTGAGCAGCGGTTGCCTTTCCCCATGAGCTCCCCTGTCCCGCGATCCCGTTTATGGCATCTCTCCTCTTGAGCCCTGAGGAGAGACAGAGGGCGTGTGAGACACCAGGTCTGCAACAGGCTGCCATCATGTCAGGGCTTTATTTCTACTTCATCATTGTCTCGTACAGACTCCGAGCCACCGTCCTTTGTTCCAATCCGGCATCCTCATGTGCCATATTTTTCCCGTAAACAGAAAATTTTGAGTAAACACTGCGTATTGTCAGTTCATCTTTTAACAATAATTTAAAAAAGCCACGGATGTTGTATCATCGATGCAAGAAGACGACAAAAGTACAGTACGAGGGAACTCACAATGTGCACAACGGGACGACTCACTCGGGCGATGGCGAGCCCACAGCAGCAGTATGTACATGCACCCCAGCGCCTCGAACCCGAAGACGTGCAAGTCGATAGAATATGTGGATTATACAAAGAATTGGGTGAGCCCCGCTGAGGAGGCGGCGCCCTTTTCCTAAACGCTGACATGTGTTCCCTCCAGCATATAGGGCATCTGTCTTGACTATTGGCTTCCTGACTTTTTCACTACAAAAAGTTCATTTTATCAGACGGTCTGAAGTTTTCAAAAAATCTTAAAAATCAAAAACACCGAGAAAAGAAAATTAAAACACTCCAATTCAACATGGAAATAAAGCAAACCAAAACGTAACAGTGCAAATTCAACAGAGAGGCAGTCAGTCTTAGAGCAAGGGTGCGCAGGGTCTTGTAAAATGTACATCTTTAAAACGTTTATTTTTTAAAATTTATTTATATCTTAGGTACCCTTTTTTTTTTAAATATACTGTGTGTAAAAAAGATGGAGACAAAAATAGTTTTCTGAGCTATGAAAAAAATAAAGTTATTACAGGCACATTTACTGTTTCGTTCTAGAAACATCTCAGGTCAGAGGTTGGACATTCAGCAGCTGTGTGTTTTCTTAAACACGTTCTTTGACCTTGGAAAAACGAGATCTCTCCTTCTGGGCAGAGTTTGGCGGATGATGATGGTGTGGTTATGCAAATTACAGTGAATTATTCTGTGATAATCCATGCAAACTTGCATCCGTCACTGGTGCAGCTTCTCCCCGGGCGGCTCCTCCTCCCCGAACTCCTCCAAGGAGGTCGGGTCTCCGAGCGATGGAGCCGTAGAGGCAGTGGGGGAATGCGGGGCCCAGCGGGATGGAGGGCGGCGGTTTGCTGGTCTCTCGGGCCTGGAGAAGCAGGATTCTAGGGATGGAGCTAGAGCAGAACAAGGTAGTTCCTTCAAAGCCAGAAAGAGAAAGACAGGGTTACTCAGACAGACAGTGCCTCCGGGGGTGGGAGGGATTTCCCCCAAATACACTTCTCGACAGACTCAATGTAACAGACCAAGGGCAACTTCTGCATGCTAAATTATATTTTGCTCATGGAGAATGACTTAAAATGGTAAGGAAAGACCTCAACAGGAATGATCAGTGATGACAGTAATGGGAAGACATCGAGTGAGGATAAAACATGGCAAAGCCTTGAGATGGGTGTGTTTACAGAGCACCATCCGAACTGGGCTGGCACCTATGGAGGGCGGGAAAGCCACAGGCCACATGTGGTCTACCCTGGCCACGTGGTCGGTCTGATCCAGCTGATCCCATCACTCTGGTCCTCCTGAGTGACCTACTTAGTGACAATGACGGTCCTAAGAGGACAGCCTCTCTTGATTTCATCAGTTGTATTAGGAATGAGACTCACCTTAAAACAAGCTCTGCTACTGTTTATCCCAAATTGACTGGTAGTGGGTGAAACACACTCCCACAACATGAAAAAATGCTGCCGGCAGAAATTTTAATTTAGGTCTAGTTTTCTTTAATGACTCCTCCTTGCAGCAGCATTTTAAGAAAGGGGAGTCAGAGTGTGCTCATGCTCTTGTGTTGCGGGCATCCCACACCTTCTGAGAATAGTTAATGCCAGACACCCTCCACCATGGTGCACATCACCTGGAATACTTCTTCTCAGGGCTTGGTCTCCATGACAGGAAACAAGGACACCACACTGGGAATTTGCTGGCACAGAGACATGTGCAAAGCTGTGGCAGGAGAATACGGGGAGCTCTACAGGGTGGGACCCATCTGCCCAAATGACACTCAGACAACAGAAAGCTGAGATGGTAAACCACTGCAATGCTGATGACACAGAGCAAAGACCCTCCGAGCCAGCCAGGAGGTAAGTCAGAGGATTTAAAGAGAGGTGACAAGCAACTGCAGAGGTCAGAATGAGGAAGAGGTAGTCAGCAGCGCAGGCGAGCGACACGGAAGAGTCAGCGGCTGTGTTGAAGGACGATGTGACGAAAACCAGGTGACAAGGAAGAAGATGGAAGGCGGACAGGGGAGTGATGGAGTGAGGAGGCTGCCTCCCCGGGGGGCCCGCAGAGAAGGAGCATTAACATGGAGACTGCTTGTTGCCGGTCCCTGCCTCTTCTGTGGTTGGCACTTTCTATGACAATGGGGAGGCCCTAGTCAGCAAAGCACATATGCTAATGAGAACCATGACAACCTGAGGTGCCTGCCTGTGAACACACCGTGGGCCCTGAGATAGCTGGAATGCGAACTTACGCGGGGGTGAGCTGTGTCCTTACCTCACCTCAGCCCAGGGCATGAGGGGGCGCATGGTTCAGGAAATCTGCTACTGTCTTGTGTCTTCTGGTGTCACTGCTCCTGGTGTTGTAAGGGTTGTGTGTGCTTGTGCTAGTATGAGTGTGTTGTGTGCAAGTGTGTGTGCTGGTGGGGCTGCTGCTAGAGCAGTGGTTCTCAACCTTCCTAATGCCGCGACCCTTTAATACAGTTCCTCATGTTGTGGTGACCCCCAATTTCATTGTTACAAATTGAATATAATTAAAGCATAGTGATTAATCACAAAAACAATATGTAATTATATATGTGTTTTCCAATGGTCTTAGGTGACCCCTGTGAAAGAGTCGTTTGACCCCCAAAGGGTCACGACCCACAGGTTGAGAACCGCTGTGCTAGAGGGTTATTGGACACATTGCAGCCAGTTCCCACCTGGCCGATGTGGGACGAGGATGCACTTCCCATTCGTGTTGTGCCACCTCTTCTCCAGCACCTGTATGGGGGCTCCCACAGGAAGCGATGGCGGGTGGCCATCCCAGCACACATAAGCACACCACACTGTCCTTTCCCGACAGGCCTCGCCGTGGGCTCTGTGGGCCTCTGGTGCTTGGAGCACTTTAGTCTTGGAGAAACAACTGTACTTTGGCCCTGAGCGCTTCGGCGTGAGATCAGTGAATGAGCTAATTATGTCCTTGCTGACACACAGGCTCCTGTTTTCTCATGTGCCTCGACTTGGGCTCTGGAGTCAATTCTGAGAATATTTTTTGGAGCAGGGGTGACTTTGCTGTTTATTCAATCAACAGATACTTATTGAGCACTGACTAGGTCACCTGGAAGGACAAGATGTATTTGCTTTTATTCCTTCTGGTGCGGTTATTGCAAAAGAAGCCTCATTGCATTATGGTCGCACCTGATATAGCATATGGCAATAACTTGTGCCACCAAATACCGGTAGCAGGTCCAGCAGATCCCCACAGGCTAGAACTCTGTGTCAGAGACAGTCCCCTCTCTGAAAGCATACTGGCTGCAAACTGCACAGGGAGCAGAAACCTAGGTGGGGTCTCTATAACTAGGGAGCCTTTCTTTGCACCAAGCAGTCAACCCTCGGCAAAAGGGATTGTACAGGCCATCAGTCTGTCCCTGCAGACGGACCCAGAGCCAGTGGGGCGGCTGCCTCTAGGAAGCAGATCTACCTAGGATGCTTCCACCTGTTTCTGAGTGTCCGGCGCCAACCCCGAGTTACACCAATGCCCCCACCAGACAGTTTGGGAAGAAGGACGAAAGCACTTACGGCATGAGGCAGGCAGGGCTAGAGTCCCCAGGGGGCAGTTAGTAAGACAGTTTGGTTCTGGACAGAACAGACAGAGAAAGAAAAGAAAAGCAAGTAGGTTGAAAAGTATTTTTTTAAAGAAGAAGAACAGTAAAGGTTTTACATCAACAAGCCAGGTGCCAGCTCCAGGGACAGCTACCAGGAGAAGCAGGAAGTCCCCAAAAGTGGCATGGCATTCATGGGCACACAGACCTCTCCTCGGCCGTGTCTGAAGGGAGAGACGGCCTCCCTGTGGAACAGCCACAGGCCTCTCCCTCCTGATTTCTAGTCTTCCCTGAGTTGCCCTTTGGCGTAACACTTCAACCATCCTTTGGCACAGAGAGATGGAAGTCGCACGACTCTTGTATTTGAAAGGAGGCATAGAACAGCCAGTTTGTCACAATGATGCAGCGACCGCTGCTCACGCTAAAACTCTCCTTCCATTTTACACTTAGTTATGGGAGAGAAGAATAGAACTACGTTTCCAGATTATTTCCGTTCTCTTCACGCCAGACTCCTCCTCACAGCTTCTCTGCATCGCGGCATGGGTGTTAGGGCCTCAAGAGACAAGAGTAAGCAGTGTGTGGGTGAGAGTGGGAGGTCCGGCTGTGCGGGTCCCAGCCAGGACCCCTACATCCCCATCTCGCTGTGACCACTCAGGGAGAGCCCCGGCAGGCCATGCACAGCAGGATGGCGACGCAGAATCACTGGAGATTTCGAAATGAAAACCCAGAACCACCACAAAATTTATGGAGGGACAAGAAGGGCTCTCCATTGGGTCTAATATATAGTAGTCAATTCAGACAAGAAGTAATTCCACTGGAATCTAGAACAAGTAAAATTGCGACAACAAAAAAAGAGTCCAGGACACTGAAATGGTGCCAGCAAGTGCTCCAGTCAGGCTCTGACCCCGAAACTCTGCTGTGCTCCCGTCAAATGGCCGGTCATCTCTAAGGTGGTGAGCACACCTAGTGAGAAGGAAGTCTTGACAGAGAGCCAAAGGGCTGGGCATAGCTTTGTACCGGTAAAACCATTTTCACACCCGAGTACTATGATTCAGTCATTAAACCATTCTTCATATTATCATAGATTGTTTTTTAACTCAAAGAATTTTTTTGGTTCCTGAAAATTAATTTCTATTTAGTTTCAAATATAAATGGACATTCCAGACACAGCCAGTTAATGCTTTGGGACAAAGCCGATTTCAGCTGATGCCTTCCAGGCCCTGAGGAGGCAGGCATTCACACAAACCCTCCGCAGCCACTTACCTGAGGGCCCCGAAGGATGGGGTGACACCATCTGAGAACACTCAGCCACGGTATGTGTTCTTCTCAGAGCCTGCACATCACTGTATCACAAAGACTAGCATCTTCGGAACATGTGGGCCATGGACCGTCAAGGTCAGGTTGAACCATATGGCATTGCCATCTTAGTAGGTCACTGGCATGGTTTAACCCATTTGAGATTTAAACTCTATATACTGAGTTAAATACCACTTGATGGATGAGACTTGGAAATTGACCATCATTGTTTCCCTGCGAAATGTGGGGCAGAACGTAGAGATACATGTTTCTTCTTACTCATGAGGCCTGGGCCGTGGCGGTGGGAAAGAAGCGGGTGGCTCAAGGAGCGAGTTTCTCTTCTTCCTGATGACCCTCGCCATCCACTGGGCTGCCCGGCCTGGAGAATGCCTGTGGGTGGGTGTCTGGATCCCAGTGGGGTGGAGTGTGTCCATGTCAGCTACTGTGGGTCAGGGCTCACACTCAAGTCTACACATGGATCACTCCCGAACAGTGACCAACCAAGTGCTGTCAGCAATGGGAAGCAGGCATCACCACTTCTGTCCCCCAGCATTGTCATCGGGCTTGGTTTTATTTTGCTCATTCTGGAAGTGGGAATGGGGATTGCTTTTTAAGGTGGCATGGGACGAGTATATCACGTATGGATAGGCATCAGAACAGAATTCAAGGTTGACTGATTTGAGGATATTGTTAATAGGGACATAATAATAATTACATGACAATGTGATAGTATGTGTATTCATCCTATATAATAAAGAGGTAACATGCAAATTGACTGTCACATCCTTGCAAAGATGGCCACCCCCATGTGGTCACAAGATGGCCTGCAGGGGAGGGCAGTTAGGGGTGACTGGGCTGGCAGGGGAGGGCAGTTGGGGGTGACCAGCTGGCAGGAGAAGGCAGTTGAGGGCAATTGGGCTAGCAGAGGAGCAGTTAGGCGTCGATCTGGCTGGCAGGGGAGTGGTTAGGGGGTGATCAGGCTGGCAGGCAGAAGCAGTTAGGGGCAATCAGGCAGGCAGGCAGGCAAACAGTTGGGAGCCAGCAGTCCTGGATTGTGAGAGGGATGTCTGATTGCCGGTTTAGGCCCGACATCCCCTGAAGGGTCCCAAATTGGAGAGGGTGCAGGCCGGGCTAAGGGACACTCTCCCCAATCCCCCAGTGCACAAATTTCATGCACCGGGCCTCTAGTATAATGATAATGTGATAATAGGTGATGTGTCAGAGGATAATCACACTGCATGAAGGTAGGGTTTTGATTGTGTGTGTTGCCTCGCCTGGGTTATTACTGGGGGGCTTCGTGGACACAGAGAGCAATGTGTGAGAGGAAAGGCTGCAGCTCTGCACTGAAGCCCTCACTGGAGTCCAGCTGCTGTAGCTCCTCGTAAGAAGGTCTAGAATCCACACTCTCAAACCCTCCCCGGCACACCTCTTGTGCTGTCACATAGGAAGACCTGGAGCATGCAGAAAGCCCTGACACGACTCCCATACTTTACACACAGACATTCCTAGGACACAAATTTACCCCCAAAGATGGCACATTATGACCCCCCAAGTGAAACGCCCAGATAAACAAATGAGCAGCCATCACTTAGACCAGAGAAGAGAACCTGAATCACTTTAAAAATGTAGCTCAGAGTTCATGTTTCTGCCTATTCCATTCTCCCATAAACCAGGTATCTCCCCAGCTCACAAGAACCTATTATGGGCCAGGATTCTTAAAATCAAATGACCTAGTACAATCCCAGGTTCAAACTTGTTTTCCCAGCATTTGAGTGGAAGAGCTGGTAGGGTGAGGGTGTGGACTACTGAGCTTTTATTACCTCGATGGACCCTGGTTCGGCTTTGACTGTCTCTCCCACGAGGCTGTCACTGTTAAGACTTGGGAGGCCTTGGGGCGCCTGCCTCCTCTCCTCCTTTAAGGCGTGCTCCAGTAGCTTCTTATGGAGGATCCGGGCTACACTCTCGGTGAACGTGTAGCCAGGGGGAGCGGATAAGTCCTGCCTCACAGGCGTGCCCTCTCCCCCTTCCTCCCTACAGGTCTCTGAGCCAACCCCGATGGGGCTGGGTGACCGTCCCCGGGAACTGGGGCTGGTGTCCTGGCCTGGGCCCAGCTCCGGCTGCGGTTCTGCTGAGCGAGACCGACCACCAGCCCGCATCCCCTTCTGGAAGGGGTCCTGCACCACGGGGCTGTGGTCAATGATGTTGAAGAGACTGGAGAGGCCATCATTGATGGCGGTGTGCACGGGGCTCTCCCGTGTGGTGGTGGAGCGGGCCCAGGCTGACTCACTGCACCCCTTCTGGGCCAGCCCTGGCGAGGTCCTATTATTTGGCTGGTCAGCTTTGGGGAGGGGCTTCCTCTGCAGCTTGGGAGACCCATACTTGGGGGAGCAGCATGTCCGTTCGAACTTGGCCTGCACCTTCTCGATGGCAGGGGCCACCTGCCTGCTCCTAAGGCCACGGGATGGAGACGATGCGGGTGTGGCACCCCCCCCTGCCTTTGGTGTGAGACACTTGTGGGGGCTGCTGGTGACGGCGCTGCCGCGCAGGGCTTCGGTCTGCAGGCCGACGCTGATGGTCTGCACGGTCTGCGTCCCAGTGGTCTGGGACCCATTGGTCTGGCAGGCCATATCCTTGACCAGGGGCTCGGGGGAATTAGAGCAGATGGCATAGTCACTCATGTTCTTGGATATCCCCAGGCTGTGCAGCGGGGAGGCGAAGCCCAGGGAGGGGCAGAGGGTGCCATCCAGGGGGCGCAGGCCTCCCTCCCCATAGTCTCGGGGTTGCCTGGGAGGGGGACAAGGCCACCTGCTAAGCATGTGTTCTGAGGGGCCCCCCTTAGCGTCTCCTGGGCCCCCTCGGGCTCTGCTTGTAGCAAACGGGCCCTCAGGCTCCGGGTGGCCCGAGCTCTCACCGCCGGCCACCACGATGCTGTCCATCCTGCGGACGGCAGGCGGGCTGTGCAGCACCCGCACCCCGGACGGCTCGGTGCGGACGTGGCTCCGCAGGGGCTGCTTCTGGCAGTGCTCAGGGCTGGTCATGGTGTCCGTGGTCATGGTGACGCTCGTGGTGAGGTACCAGGATGAGTCAGGGAAAGGCTCCACACTGGCCTCGCCCCCAGACCGCCCCGCCTCTGTCCTGCCTGCCCAGGGGTCTGGAGGCCTCTCGTCCCAGCTCTTGCTGTTGAACTCCTCGATGTATTTCAGATCATCAGGGGACAGCGGGGGAGTGATGTCCTCTTTGCTACTGGCCGCGGGCAGGCCTTTCTCCGGCAGGAAGGGAGAGACGTCCATCAGGCGCTGGAACTCAGACATGGAGGACACGGACACCGCCCTGGGAGAAGGAGTGGGAGAGGAGACAGTGTCAGCTGCCCACCAGCCCGGGTGCCTGCCAACCTGCACGGCACGTGCCTGTGTCGTGCCAGCCGCTACCATAACGATGAGAAGGCTTTCCAGCCGCCTGATGCTCTCTACCCCTGGGCTGACCCTGTGGATGTTCAATAGGCTTTTTATGGCTCTGGAATTGTTCCAGGACCTGTGTCTGGGTCAGAATGCAACACAGCCAACCCGCAAACACTGGGAACGAGTGGAAGGTGGGGCTCTCAGGCAGGCATAGCTAAGCTCCAAGCCACCTTGGATGCTTCACTTCAGCCTATGGTGCCCCACAGGAGGAAGGGACACCTGGCTGTGGCCTGGCGTCTCCATCTACTGACCAGAGCCTTCCGTCCCCACTGTACTGGGAGCTTCCCAAGTGCCGAGCATTATGGCAGGTGCTCATGCTACAGACACGGACTGCCACAGTCCCGATCCAGAACCAGTTAATTGTTTGGGGTGGGGGTGGGAGAGCTACCACAACAAAACAACTATCATCTGAAGTCTTTTCCACCCATTGGCCTCATCCTCTATTGACATGAAGTACTAACCATCTCCAAAGGCCAAGTGGAAGATGAGAAGACAGGAAAGTAGAAGATGGAACTAGGCCAGTGATGGCGAACCTCTGACACGCGAACTCATTTTTTTGGTTGATTTTTCTTTGTTAAATGGCATTTAAATATATAAAATAAATATCAAAAATATAAGTCTTTGTTTTACTATGGTTGCAAATATCAAAAAATTTCTGTATGTGACACGGCACCAGAGTTAAGTTAGGGTTTTTCAAAATGCTGACACGCCGAGCTCAAAAGGTTCGCCATCACTGATCTAGGCCAACAAGTAAATTTCCAAATACGTTTTCAAATGAAATTTCCACCTGGCCCTGCCCAAATCCACCAAGGGGGCTCGGCTCTCCTCTCCCCTCTCTGCTCCCTGCTTTACAGTCAGGCCTTCTCTTTGTTCCTGCTCCTCCTGTATTTTTGGACACGAGGAAGACACTCCACATGCACACAATGGAAGGTGAAGACAGGTGAGCTAAAGCAGCAGCCAGTTTGGGGTAAGTTCCTGCCCAACAGATGTGGTTTTAGCTGTTGATTCCTCAATGTATTAGCACTTTAATTCAATATATTTCTACTTGACAGGAATTTACTGACTTCCCCCTGTAGGCCGGGTGCTGGAGATCTGACATGCTAGGTCGGGGGATGCTGGAGCATTCAGGCAGCTTGTCAGCTCTCCCAGGGCAAAGAAGTAGTGGCCAGGAAGGAAGCCTGGGGCTGGCCATGCCTGTCGGCGCAGGCCCTGGACCCTCGGGCCTGGGATACCTCTGGATGGGTGATAGGGAGGTGAGGTGTATGCACACTCACGGTTTCTGCAACTAGACCACTTCCCCATAGGACACCAATACCCACCTACCTCCAAACTGAGGCTTGAATACATAAGTGACTTTCTATGCCCAGCCCAGGCCCTGCCGAGGGGGTCTCACATGAAGTCCATGGGCCTCTCCACTCTAGGATTGATTAATGATGGTGAGGCCAGAATTGGGGTCTGTGTGCCACCTGGACTGGCCCACAGAGCCAGCAAAGCTCCCAGTGGCTCTGCCCTCACCCCGGGGTACATGCTCTTGTGGTGGTCACTGTGGGGTAAGGGTCTAGGCGACAAATGCCACCGTTAGGCTTTCCATCTTATTATTTCTCACTGAAGGCAAAGTCAGTGATATTTCTGTATTAGAAATAACCTACAAACTGTCCAATGCCCTCTGAATAACAGGAAGCTGGCGATAACCAGTGCTGGACATAAATGTGTACCTCGATTTGTTACTAGGTCTTAAGCTTTCCTGCGAGCGTGATTTTCCTCTTCTTGTCTCGGGTCCTGTCAGAGTGGCTGAATTAACACTGAGCTTCAGAATGCTGGGGGCTGGAGCCACCCTTGGATGTGGCTCATCTAACCCCCACGCCTGCCCACAGAGGAACCACTCAGAGTTGATTCAGTGGCACCTGTGTGGGGACCTGGCCGTCAGGGCTTGGATGGATGGATGTGGAACAGAGACCAGGTAGGTAAAGGAAAGGCATCAACCTCAGCAGCATCCGAAGTGACACAGAACAATAACTACAAAAACCAGGATGCATCTGAAACACGTTGCATAGAAAATCACTGGCATCGTATAAGGTCTCCTAGCCTAGCAAGAGGGAGTTTTTCCAGATTTTAAATTAGAAGAGAGGAGTTTCCATGGGCTTTTCAAAAACTATTTACCACAATCATTCCCTAATATACACAATACACAACTATAACAACAAAGTTCTTACCCTTAAAGCTAATAAGCAAACACAGCAGGTCTCTGGCCTTTTTGTTATTAACAATAAAAAAATACATTTATTACATTAAAAATAATAAAGCAACTACTCATTCAGAAGTCTTATTTTAAGTCATTTTGAAGAGAGTATTGTAACAGACCACAGTGACAGGTGGAATTTCCAGACAAGGGGATTTTATTTCAGTTGTCTACTATTGTTTCCCTTGATCTTACTTACCTTTGAAGATTTCCCTTGTGATTTTCTTCTTCCTGTAAAGAAGAAATAAGTTCATCCGAATCAGCTAATATTGGTTGCTAGGCGCTCTCAGGGTGCTATGGGATTTGTTCTGCTCTCCTGCCCTAGGACAACAGCATTGAAAATGCACATGGAGCCAGTGTTGGTCGGGAGCGTTACTGCCCCCAGCCCTTCAAGGTTCGATAATAAAACCACAATCCACAGTGTGGTGAGGGGCTGGAGCTTCTGCAGTCCAGGGAGGAGCCCACATGAGTAAGCAAAACTGGCCATGATTTTTGTATAAACAGTGTCATGGAGAAAGTGGCCCTCCTGGCTTTCTCAGAGGACTTCCCTGAGCACATGACTTTCCAACCTTGCTTTGTAATGACCCAGATACGTCTGCATGTGTGCGTTCATGCGTGTGTGTGTGAGAGAGAGAGAGAGAGAGAGAGAGAGAGAAAGAGAAGAGAGAGCAGTGGGAGACAATGAGGATGACAGAATGAGTTAGAAGATGGATGTCCCTAAATGAAGTTGATTTGACATCCTTAGGCATGAGTACTTCTTTAATTTTAAATTTCGCCATTTGGAATCAAAGTCAACGTTACAGTGACGTCTGCTTACGAAGAATGATAGCTGCGCTGGTAGAGGACAACACGAACACAGGTGGACTTGGGTGTTTTCGAGCTGACACGGTCTGGAAGAAGGAGCAAGGAGCCTAGCACGCTCTGATAACGGAAGTTTATGCATCGGCGTGGTCAAGAGCCTGGTGCGCTTCCCCCCAGCGAGCACGGTCCGCAGTGCAGGTCAGTAAAGGGTCCAGGCCCCTGCAGGGCTGGTACCAGGCCAGTCTCCTGACCCCGGCTGCCTTCTCACTGTGAGAGCGTGGACCATGTGAGACTGCCAGCAGATCAGACAGGGTGGCAATACTGGCGATGTCACATCACCTGAGAATCTGTTGCAGGGTCGGGGAGGTGGGGGGCGCACCTGGCCTCACTGACATGTGACTGAGTATAATTTCCCCACATTTCCACAGCACTATTGACTGAACCCTTCTCAGTCCATTAAGTACCTGGGGCAGGTTAAAAAGCAGGCAGAGCAACTGTTAAATGGACTCACAGGTAATGATTCCTAAAATCAATTTTTAAAGCTCAGCTTTAAAAACCGGAAAACGCGAACGCTGTGCCGTGGAGATTTCAGCGCAGAGCTTAGCTTGGCTACTTGCTCGTCTAGTCTGTGTAAGGTGTCTAAGTGCTGGGTGTCTTCCCTTTGTATAAGGTCTTCAGGGGATGTCATTGTTTTAGTGACATTTGCTACTCCCAAATGTCAGGTATTTTCTTTAAAGTTTGGTTTCCTGTTAATAAGTTTTCTATGATTTGAAATAAAGTTGAAGATCTACATGCCCCAGAAGAATGACCTATTCCCTCCTGTGTGTCTCATTGGACGTGCCCACTTGTGAAACCTTTCCGTGTACACAGGACACGAGACGTGAGACAAAGTGGCAAAATAAAGCTGGCCGCAGCACAAGCTAGGAGTTTGGGGTCAGGGCCCCCCAGCAATGCTCTTGGCACTGTGAAGGTTTCATTTTTAAGCCCTGGAGCCTGCCTGCCACGTGGCAGGGCTGCCCACCAACCCCTTGGTCCTGCAGTGGTTAACTGGACCCGAAAACCCAGGCCGACCTGAGGGAGGCAGTTCCTGAACTCCTTCTGGGGCCCGCGGGCCGGAGGCTCCTGTGGCTCATCCTCCAAAGCGTCCAAGTAGAGGTTCTCCCGGGCTGAGCACCTGTCCGATTCCTTCAGCTTGGAGAGCGGCCGGTCTTCAAAAGGGGTGGAGTCCGATTCTGTGCAGGGCCACATCCCCAGAGGTTGGGGCACACGGGGGCTTCCCGGGGGAGCAAAAGGGCGGATGTTGCCTTCTTTTTGATCACAAAGGAAATTTCCACCTCTCCGGGGACTGTTTTCTTTCTGCAACTTGAAGGTTTAAAAATTAAAACATTAGCCTCACTTTTCTGACTGTTGCTCTCCTAAGACCATGGTCTTACCACAATTTGGGATTACAGATGAGCCCATCTATAATTCCATAGCTCACATCTCAAAGACCAGGAGAAGAAAATGTTCTTAAAGTTCTGGCCTTAATTTCAAAACGTACCCCACCACCATTACAAATGCTTTTTTTTTTTTAAAAGAAAGATCACTATTTTGTTTGGACTGAAAATCTGCATTAATCACATACAAGCCAACTCCTTCTGACAAGAATCTGTTATTGTACATAACTCTGAGTACTGTGCTCACAGGAAACAATACACTTATTTTTAAAAAATCGAACATTAAATGACATATTTAGAGCTCTTTTTTAAAAAAAAATTACCTTCAGAACTTAAGGTATACTCGGAGGAAAACGATCAGCAAACTTCTGAAGGTGAATTTGGTTTTTCTAACTAGCATTTTCCTAATAATAACAGCATATTATTTCCAAATCATCTGGAACAGGTTTTATACATAATCCGAGAGATCAAACTGTTATAACCACTGGATGGAAAAGCACTTTACACTTTGCTTGAGAGGATTGAAACTGAGCTATAAAGGGAATTAAGCTCTGGTATGACTGAAAACAAACAGCACAAGACAGATACGTTTGAGTCACACATTTTGTGCCTGGCACAGGAAGCTCAAGGAGCAGCTGTGGGAACACACAGGACCACTTGGAGTTGGGAAGACCTACCTAAGTTGGAACCATTGGCTATCAGGTCTAAGGTGCCTACCTCTTCTCAGCTCCATCTCCTCATCTGTAAACAGGGATGGCAAACCTCCCTCCCAGGTCTAGGGGGACAACAGGGGAGAGCCCATTGTCAGTGAAACCACCCCTGACTTCCCTCAGGCCTGCCCTCAGGGGCTGGGCCCACAATGATCACCTTGCCTATTTACTGTGCAAGAACCAAGTGGAGGAGGCCAGTTCTCTTAAAAGATGCTAAATGCTTTCTTTAATCGAGAAATAAAAAGGAAAGCTTTCTATTATGTTTATCCAATGCATGTCAGCGCAATTTAGTTTCAACACATGATCATCTCCAAGCTATTTTGGGCAAGGAATTAAAATGCGAGAATCACATTTGAAGCTGTAAATGTGCACCGAGGGTGTGTGTGAAGAGGGGGAGGAATGACTACAGAGGAGAGCTATGAACAAGCAGGTTCTAACTCAGGAAAGTGGAATTTCAAAAATAAACCCTGCAGCCAGGAGCAATGAGCACGGAAGCCAGTGTTAGGTTTCCTAAAAATGAAGCTGAGTGGTTTTAGCTGGAGGTATCTGCTGCTGAGATGCCGCTGGGGTGGTGTAATAGAATAATGGGCCCTTAAAAGGATAGGGTTTCCTAGGGGAGTCATTTCAAATCAGGCATCTGCAATTACTGTATTTAGAATCCTGCAGCAGAACAACTTGTAATGCAAATAGAAAGTTTTAAAGATTTGCATTTCAAATAATACAGGAAACAATAAACCCTCAAGAGTGTCACCTCAGCTGAATCAGTCAAAAGAAAAAAATGGTCACTTTGTGAACAGGTTTTATTATTATTTTAATATATTTTTATTGCCCTGGTGGGTTTGGTTCAGTGGATAGAGAATTGGCCCTTGGACGAAGGGTCCTGGGTTCAATTACAGTCAAAAGCATAAATCTTGGTTGCAGGCTCAATCCCAAGGCCCCAGTCAGGGCGCATGCGGTAAGCAACCAATTGATGTGTCTCTCACCTTCCCTTCTACTCTATCAAAAAAGGCAGAAAGGAAGAAAGGAAGAAAGGAAGAAAGGAAGAAAGGAAGAAAGGAAGAAAGGAAGAAAGAAAGAAAGAAAGAAAGAA